GAGGTAGGGGTGGCTGGGAGGGAGTTGGGGAGAGGGGGCTGGCCGGGGGGGAATCGGCTGGCAGAGAGCAGGGCTGGCCATGAGGGGGTCAAGGAGAGCGGGAACTGGCAGGCAGGGAGCAGGGCTGGCTGGGAGAGGGTTAGAGGGAGGGGGGCTGGCTGGGGAAGGGGGGGAACCAGCAGGCAGGGAGCGGGGCTGGCACAGGCACATGCAGATCTCGGGGTGCTGCCTGTCTCGCGCACAGTCCAGGCGGTGCGCACGGGCAAGTCCAGCCCTGCGGATTCCATCTGGCTCCGCCCCCACCCCCACCCTCTCTACTGCGTAGCTGCATACTGCCTGGCTGGCAGACACGCTCATGCAGTGTGAGAGTGTGTACCAGCCAGGCAGTTTGCAACTACGTACTGATCCTCCTGATAATAATAAAACATAATTAATTAGAAAATACCAGACAGTTATATGTTCAGTATTTTCTCAATTTGTTTCCCAGACAGAAAGCTCAAATACCAGACAGTCCGGTTCAAAACTGGATACCAGGCAACCCTAACTTCGCACCTTTCACACTCCCCCTGCGTATGGGCCTGCTGTGGGGCTACATCTGGCACAAAGTTACCACAGCTCAGCAACGGTTAATCCAATGGCTGGATTAATTTACTTTTCAGTGGGCTGCTTGGACTTGAGCTAGGCTAGCCCCGTAAGGCGGCAGAGTTAGGTTTCTGTCTCTAGAGTGGGGCTAAGGAGGAGTAATTTGGGGTATGGGAGAGGCTCAGGGCTGTGGCAGAGGGTTGGGTGAAGACTGTGCTCACAAGAGTATGTCTACACCTCAGCTGGGAGTGCACTTCCCTAGTTCTCCTGTGCTGTTAGCATGATAAAAGTAACAGGGTGGCTCTGCAGCAGTGTGGGTGGTGGGTCAGATAGCTACCTGAGTACATACCCAGAGGCTCAGGTGTGATTGCACTCAGGCATCTGCCATGCTGGTGCCCATGCCAACATTGCTAGAGACTGCTGTTTTTAGCACACTAGCTCTAACTAGCTACTTTCTGTGCTGAGCTCACAAAAAATGCAAGAGCTGGCACTAGTACTATTAAACCTGTTGTGCAACTCTTGGAAATAGCCTTTTGGAATACGTGCAATTTGTGATATAGGGATGGAATGCTGTAATTGTTTACAGACCAATCCAAACAATTCCAGTTCTTGTTTAAATATTTTCTTTTAATGAGAAACATAACAGAGAAGCCAGTTCAATGTGTCCCTTGAATCTGGTTTCTTTCTGCTGTAAAATCTGTTACAATTCAGACTTTAGGCTACGTCTAGACTGGCATGATTTTCCGGAAATGCTTTTAATGGAAGTTTTCCGTTAAAAGCATTTTCAGAAAAGAGCGTCTAGATTGGCACGGATGCTTTTCCGCAAAAGCACTTTTTGCGGAAAAGCGTCCGTGACAAATCTAGAAGCGCTTTTGCCCAAAAAAGCCCCGATCACCATTTTCACGATTGGGGCTTTTTTGCGCAAAACAAATCTCAGCTGTCTACACTGACCCTTTTGCGCAAAACTTTTGCGCAAAAGGGACTTTTGCCCAAACGGGAGCAGCATAGTATTTCCGCAAAAAGCACTGATTTCTTACAGTAGGAAGTCAGTGCTTTTGCGGAAATTCAAATGGCCAGTGTAGACAGCTGGCAAGTTTTTCCAGAAAAGCGGCTGATTTTCCAGAAAAACTGGCCAGTCTAGACACAGCCTTATTGTTTCATCACTTTTAAAATACTAAAAATATGGTCGGTGGTTGAAACCATTAAAAAAAAAATCACAAGCTCTGCTTAGGAGAGCTCATCCTAATTTTAGTCATACTAATGATGTATCCATTATTGCAAGCTTCACAATTTTCATTATATTTGGTGTTTCTTAAAGCCCTAATTCACAAAATCAATGTATTTGTGGAAAAACCTCAGCTTTCATTTAAAAAGAAATAGAAAGCACATTTCTAGCTCTAACGACGTGGAGAAAAGCTTGAAAACTTGATCAAATGTGCTCTAAAGATTCAGAAGCAAATACAAAGCACCCAGAATGTAGTATGTAAAAAAATTCTCATATTAGGCCTGATTCATTAATTTTTGAATGCTCAACTTTGACAATACTGTATTTCAAGTGGGGGACAACAAAGCGCGAAGGACATGGACAGCTGCATCAAGTTCATGTGATGATTCACTTTAGATAGGGGCCTAGAAGTGGTCGTGGCTACATTAGGAAAAGTTACATCTTTAACTCTGTTAACTCAGCTAGTAGAGGTGAACCTGAAAGGGGCTAAAGGGTTCATCTTGACTAGCTAAATCAAAGAAAACTATAACTTGGTATGTACATAGCCTAGGTGGCTCACTTAAAAAGGCTTTAATTATTACTATAGTGTTTCTGACAAGTCTTCTGGCCAGTGCAGAGAATTTGCCTTAAAGGATTTGAACAATGATCAGTTAGTAACTTGGCAGACTAGAACAAAAAAAAGTTCTACACGCAAGGTGTGCGTGGAGAGTTCAGGGGCAAGACTGATCATAGCAGGTTACGTAATGCCTTGAGAATAAAGATTACCTAAATTTTGAATGGGATCACCACCCTACCCAGCCTTTGTGAAAGGATTACCATATTCTCCATGCAATGGCTCTGATGTAACTGTGGAGCGTCAGAAATCTCGAAGCTTCTTGGAGACATTACATTCCGTCCCCACCTACCTCTGTGCATTCATTCTCTTCTCCCTGACCCCCTAAACTAAATTGAAATAGGCCTTTCTTGCGTTTATGGGTGAAAAGAGTAGCAGCTAGTTAGCTCTTTTACATAGGTTGGAAAGAGTTTAATGACCCATAGAATAATTATGTACATTTCCCGAGCAAAGTGCCTAGTAAGCCTGAGTAGCAACATGATAGTAAACAAAGTCTAATTCTGTAACCTTGGAATAAACTGTTTTAAATAAACTGTTACTGTTTAAATTGTGAAATGTGTGTATATATTAACTTACCCACAAAAAATCATTAACTGAGAGCCATGGTTGCTCAAGGGCATTTCTTATTGACAGAATCAATAAAGATAAAGGATCAAGCAGAAGTACAAGATGGCTATAAATGGTCTCAATTTTTTATTAACATACAGTGATTTCAGAGCAATGAAAGTTGAAACTGCAAAAATGGGCAACACATCCAATAGCATGACACTCCCATGTATTTTGATTTGTGACTTGGTTACATATCTACTGGAGTTAACAATTCAGACATTTTTGACTGTGGTTACTCAGGGAGCAAGGTTTGTAGTGCGTGAGAAAGCTAACAGACACGAGAAGAGAACTGGAAGTTCAGAGAAAGAAAAATGGAGAAATTAAAACACTCATACTTGAATAAAGGTTTTAGGATTCTGCCTTACAGAAGCAGTTGAGGGTTCTTGCAGGTTCAAGAGAATTGAAAACTGCTAACAACAGACTATAATGAGGAGTAAAATATTATATATGAGAAACAGAACTAGTAAATACACAAGTTCTATAATACTCAGCTAATTAATGCCATATATTGCAATTTCTTTCACTGCATCATTGAATATTATATACTATATTGAAAGATTTAATCACTAGAGTGAGGGGTTGTACACACCATTGTACTGCAACCCCCTTTTGATAACAAAAATTATTACACAATATCCCAAGCGGGGGTTGGGTGGAAGCAGGGCTGGCCTTAGGCTGATTCCGCCGATTCCCCTGAATTGGGCCCCACGCCCTAAAGCCGCGGTCCCTAACAGGTCGATTGCGATTGACTGGTCGATCGCAAGGCCTCGACCAGTGGATCGTGAGATGTTCGGGCCCCCCCCCATTCTCCCCCCACTCCCGAGAAGCCCCACTACCGACCTCCAGCGTAGTGGCGACTTCCCCGGGGTGGGCGGAAGTCCTGCCTGCAGTTTCGCGCCACTTCCGGGGATCCGGAAGTGCGCTGGCTGCTCTTCCCCACCACAGCTCTGTGGCGTGTCGGGCACGTGGCAGGGGGTGTTGGCCCCGGAGAAGGAGCGCGGCGCCGGCGGCTTCCATGCAGCACCGTGACCGCAGGACTCAGGAAGGGTGAGTCAAGCGCAGGGATTTTGTCTTCTCTGCAGGAGGGGAGTTTGGCCCCATCGCGGGAGGGGAGTTTGGCCCCATCGCGGGAAGGGGGGTTTGGCCCCAGCCCCCGGGACAGGCACTGCACTGCGAGAGAGGTTTTGGATGTTTTGGGGGGTTTGACCGGCTTCCCTCTGGAGGGGGGATCCTGAGAGGAGGCGCATGCAGGGGACTCTCTGCCCCCTCTCGCCTCCTGTTCCCTCTCCCCAGCCGCAGAAACCTGTCCCCACTGGCCCCCTGTTCCCTCTTCCCTCCTGGCAAGGAAGATAAAGTTTTAAAAACATAGGTGAGGTGTACAATAATTAAGAGGGACTTCCCTCTTAACTTGATATTTATAATATATGACGCAATATACCGAAACTTTTGTGTGTGGTGGTTGGTTTGTTTTTGTTTTGTTTTTTGGCTCAACAAAAAATCCTGGGTGCTGGAGCCCCATGAAAACTGTTTGAATTGGGCCCTGCACTTCCTAAAGCCGGCCCTGGGTGGGAGTGGTAAAAATTGACGCCTCCTGAGCCCCACTGCCCTGGACAGTTAGGCCTGAGCCACACTGTCCCAGTTGGAAGAGGACAACAGAGAAGCACAAGGACTCCAACCCATGTGGGGAGAGGGCTGTAATCTGGGCCCCACCAGCTTGAGCGTCAACCTAAGGGAGTGGGGCCCCCATTAAAAGATTTTGAGAACTGCTGTACTGGAGTTACCTTTTCCTTGAGGGTGTTTTTTTCTTCCCCAAAGAAAACAGAAAACCAAATTATTTTATAATGGATAAGGGATCAAAACTGAAGACATTTTTTTACCTCCCAGGATGCTAGACAAAGACCTAAAGACACATTTCTCTCTCATCTCATATATAGCCAGGTAGTGAAATAACTGGGGAAAAAAGAATCAAGGCATTGTACAACATACTCGTGTTTGAGATGGCAAGTACTGTAGGTTTCAAATGCTTATAATTGTACTAATTAAACCATGAGTAATCAGTGTAGAACGCATCTAAAGTGTAAAAGATTCAAATAAAATCATCAATGGAGAAGGGCCTTTATATAGGCTACGCTGGTAGGAAGCAGATTCATTTCCTTCGCATAAGCCTTTCTGTATTTAAAAGATTTCTAGACAACCATCCTGTAAATCAAATCCTGTGCTTAGAAAGATGCTGCCATATGAATCAAAATCCATGCAGCTAACTCCAGCTTTAATTTAGTTGATTTTACTCAGCTGGTAGTAGCAAAGAATCATCCAAGAGTTTCCACACTTTGTTTTGTGATCACATGATATTGTGGGCAGGAAATTTTGAATGAGGTTGTAATGATGTTGATAATCTCCATGCCTCCTAGCATTCAGGGATTCTAAAAGATCAGGACTGTCCTTATACTGAAACAGAAAAAGTGACAGGTTAGTGATTGGTAAGCTGTGTTTCAAACATTAATATGCAACTGCTAATATTGCACCAGATTCAGAACAACTTCATCTGTCAACACACTATTGGCTGAAGTATAAGAGAACTGATTCCAAATTCAACTGAACAGAAATCCATAGGGAAACGCTCCTATCTCATGTAATGTCTTTGTCTTCTGGATGTTTTTGTGTCATATAGTTCACTCATGACCCTACTTGAGCTTTGTCCATTACTTGCGGAATTTAGAGATGAAAATGTAGAACCGCATGAGATCACGTCCCTTTCCAGTTCATGGCTGTTCTCAAGAGTAAATTTCCTAACGCTGTAGCCCTTATGCATTCTTTCTTCTGAGTGCATGGCTTCCTTTAATAAGAACTGATTTGTCCTAGACAGTATATGGTCTAGACAGTATTTGGTCCTGCCATGAGGGCAGGGGACTGGACTCGATGACCTCTCGAGATCCCTTCCAGTCCTAGTATTATATGAAAGACCTCACTAACCAAATCCTGAGATGCAATCCTTTTGCTTTCTTGTCAGGAATATATTTTATCTTACACTTTAAACATTCAACTTATACTGTTGTAAGTTTCTCTTCCTTCCAGAGAAGTTAAGTTCTACTTGCTCTCTCACTCCTCAAAACTGAAATCCAGTTTCTGCTGACTCTGCACTACATGCTGTCTGTAAAGCAGGTTCTCCCAAGCTGTGGGCTACATCCCCCTGCGAGAAGCAAAGGAGTAGCCAGAAGGATGCAGACATGCTTCTAAATTGCTCTTCAGTCTCAGCTTTCACTTATAGGCTACATCTAGACTAAACTCTAAAATTGAAAAAAGATAACTCAATTTGCATACCTCAGACTGCATATCTTTTTTCTATTAAATTTGAAAGAGGCTATTTTGAAATTTGGCATGTCTACACGGCACCAAATTTTGAAATAAAGTGCCCTGTGGAGCCATCCCATATTCCTTGCAGAACGAGGTTTACAGGGATGGCGAAAGAGTGCGTCCGTTATTTTGAAAATTCCTTGGACATGGCATTGCTATTTTGGGATACTTCCAGTATCCTGAAATAGCAATGCAGTCTATATGCCCCCCCCCGCCCTCAGCAGACCAGACGTTTGTTGTGGACCCTGGGGTAGAGCAGCTGGGGTGCTGCTGGGTTGGTCCTGCAGGGACCTACCTGGCAGCCCAGCTGTTCTGTCCCAGGCTCGAGATTCAGCCGCTGTTGAAACTGATCAGTGGCTGATTCCAGGAAGCTGGGGGCAGAGCAATTCTGCCTCCAGCTTCCTGTAGTCAGCCCTTGGTCAGTTTCAGCAGCAGCGGCTGAATCTGGAGCCAGTTCCAACTTACACACAAATTCAACTTAAGAACAAACCTATAGTCCCTATCTTGTACGTAACCCGGGAACTGCCTGTAAATGGACTTTGATTCTATTTCTGGCTCCCATTTAGGTTTTGTAAAAAAAAAAGTTTTTCATCGTAATCATTCCGCATCATTTTAATACCTATCAATTTTAGAACAATCTAATAGCTGCTCAGCTGAACCATGCTTCCTTCTGAAAATGCCTGGCAAAATGTAGTGAGCCTAACTTTATTATTAATGCAATACTCTTATTTCTCCCACCACACTAAGACTTAGAATTTGCAAACAAGCATTTACAAAATACATAAAATACACACAATGCAAACAATAAGAGCTGTGCAGCTAGAAGCTCCTTTAAACAAAGCTCAAGTGTGAATGGCAAAATTCTTCTGTTACACAGGTGTAAGTCCAGAGCAGGGTGACCAAATATCTCACTTTTATAGGGACTGTCCCAGTATTCAGGACTTTCTTTCATAGAAACGCCTATTAGCCCCAACTCCTGATTTTTCACACTTACTATTTGGTCACCCTAGTCCAGACTGCAACTCCACTCGCTTTGGTGGAACTAGAAAGGACCCGCATCATGAAAGAGCAGAATTTTGACTTAATTCTCAAAATGTACATGCTTTGCACACATTCCCTAATGCCTGAAAAGCGGGAAGCTCCAGTCATATTAAGATGTGGAAGTTACCAAGTTCATTTCTCTCCCCCACAAATGAGAACTTTCCAGTTATAGCCATGGTGCATGTGAGCAAAGCCAAAGTGATTCCGAGTGCATCTCCCCAGCAGAGAGTTTTTTTGTTTGCCACTTTGTATTGTTAAGGAACAATGGTGGAGCATGGCCCCCTTCTTTTGGAGAACATAAAATACTTCCTGGAACATAGTAAGTCACCTACCTAAAAAATTGAAGGGCTCCAATAGCTTGATTTAAAAACTGCCTTTGATCCCCATTTTTTGCCATGAATGGAAATGTACAGAATACAGAAAATAACTTCAAGTGCAGTTCCAGAATCAACAATCTAGGATTAACATTTTTGTTTTACTTTACAGTGCAGTAGAGCTAATCTCAATT